TTCTCTTTATACCTCTTCCCCAGCTTCTTAAAAGCTAGAGAGTTGTAGAGCGTTATCACTCTGTGGAAGTTATCACTATTTGGAAAGGTAGGCCTTAACTTTTCTTACAAAAATAGACTGGTTCTTCTTGGCCTTTTGCTCTTATTTATGAAACTTGTCAAGTTTCATAAAACACTTTATTAGAATTGCATTGCCTTTATGATTCATTTTGGTAGTATTGTCACTTCTAACCTTTTTTTAAAAAGATTTATTTATTTATTTATTTATTTTAGACAGAGGGGAAGGGAAGGAGAAAGAAAAGGGGAGAAACATCAATGTGTGGCTGCCCCTTGCACATCCCCAATTGGGGAATTGGCCTGAAACCCAGGTATGTGCCCTGACTGGGAATTGAATCAGTGACCCTTTGGTTCGAGGGCCTTTGCTCAATCCACTGAGCTACAATAGCCAGGACTCTAACCTTTTCATTATAGAATTTAAGACATAGGAAACTACATTGAAATTGTAAAGTGAAACCCATGTAACCACCACCCAGGTCAAGAAAACACAATACTACTGGAACTCCAGGAGTTCCCTATAATAAGATTGCTTGTTGTAGACAGCTCTGCCTGGTTTTAGGAATTGTAACTCTACCTGTTGTGGCTAAGGGTGAGGGACGACCTTTGGAATGCAAGCCTCAGGAGACAACGCTTGTCTCTGGTAGCAAACTAGCAAATTCTGCCTCAGTTTCCTCTCCCTGGCCCCAAAGCTTGGTTGGAAGTCAATGATGGGTAAGACCCCTCACAGCGGGGGGCAACCTAAGCCAGACTCCATCACTTGGGAAGCCTTCATGGAAGGACTGGGCGGGGGCGCTGCAACAAAGAGGGAGCAATGGACTCTCGCCCCCTGGCTTTGACAAAGCCCGAGTCCCCATATTCCCTGGGAGAAGTGTTTCCTGGCTCTAATCCCCTTAAGCCTGAATACCTTGTTGGGGAGAGGTGCAGCTCCTTGCCTTGCTAGAGTGTGTATCCTGGGGAAAAATCTGGCATCACAAAGACTTCCTAATAAACCCGTGAAATCTGTTCTGATAAGAGTGCTTTCATTCATATGTTAAGGGTTTGAGCAGGAAACCCTAAAACTCTTTTCCTGACAGACACTGACTCATATTAAGCCCTCAGATTTCTTTGAAATGTTATCTACTGTTTGATCCTTGCTGCCCTGTATTCCTGTATATTACAACCCCAAAAAAGGTCCTGGAGGAGGGGGCTCAGTGCCTTTTTCCCCTGAGAAACTGTCCACTGCTCAAGGCCTTTTTCCTCTGGGAAACTGGCCACCTCTCCTCCCCAAGCAGATCACATCATGTTTCAGTCATGATTACTCTCATCCCTGGTGGCTGGGGGAACTTGTGAGGAAAGTCGCCCCCACAATTGCTTACTAATCACAACGAACTTTTACAGGATTTTTTGTTTTTCTTTACAGTTTCACTGCCTGTGTATGCATCTCTAAATGAAATAGCCTCTCTTGTATTTAAGCTTTATATGAAAAGAATAATGTAGTATGCACTCTTTTGCAATTTGGATTTTTGGCTCAACATTGTGTCTGGGTTGTTTCCAGTCTCTGGCAACTATCATCACGTGGCTCTCGACATGTTGGCACCTGCACCCAGGTGTGTGCGCATGCCAGTCTCTGCGGTGTATACCTACGTGTGGAGCTGTGGGATCATGATATGTGGGTGTCTCCTTTTATGCTGTTTCCAGAGTGGTTATGCTGACTCCTGTCCCCACTGGCCTTCCATGAGACACCTCACTGCTCCACTGTCTTAGTGACACTCTGGATTGTCAGGTTTTGTAGGTTTTTCCCCCAAAGTAATCGTCTGCTTTATTAGAAAATGTGCATTTTGCCTTGTTTTCTCTAGTAAAAAGCTTTGCATTTTGATAAGGTAGGGGGGAAGGGGAGTCTTAAAAAGATGCAGAGGGTATTCGGGACTGATGAGTCCTTCATGTTTGGGAAGTGGGTTTCCTCCCCACCCCCACAGACACACACACGAAAACCTCCCCCAAACCCCTGCTCTTATGGGAAGCCACTCAAATTCATTCACACTATGGTATAAATGACTAATAAGACTTGTTGGCAGCAAAACAGCACCAGGTGTGAGACCTCAGTTCAGCAAACTGGGTACTTGAGTTCTGGCTAAGAAAGAATTGAGAGCCAAGACTCAAACAATAAGAAAAAGTTTATTTGAGTCACAGAAGTAGAAGAAGTGTGCTGTAGAAGAAATGGGCTCAGGAAACAAGTTATAGAGGTGAAAGGAGTGTTCTTGGCACTTGGGAGAAAGAGGCAGGGAAAACGGAGCCCGGGGGAACCAGGTGTTGAAAGGTATGGGCGTGGCCCGCACAGAGAGTCAGGCTGGGTTCTCCATCCTGAGGGCTGTTATCTTTATAGTTTTTGTCAATCTGATGCATATGGTAGTATGTCATTGTGGTTTTAATATTCAGTTTCTCTGGCAAATAATTAGATTGAGCAACATTTCATGTGCTTGTTGGCTATGTTTTTCTCTTTTGAAGTGCACGTTAAAATCTTATGCCCATTTTCTTTTGCATTTTGATGATTTGTAGGAATTTATTTGCAAATCCTGGATACTATGTTGATTATATATGTTGCAATTTTTTATGGTGTTATTCGTGAATGAAAATTATTTTAATATATTAGAATTTATCGTTCTTTTATTTTACAGTTAATGACTTGACAATTTCTTCCATTTTCATATATCCTTTTCTACTGCAAAGTGGAAAAGATAGCCTTGAATTGTTTTTGAATGTGGTGTGAGAAAGGATTCGGTCCCATTTTTTTCCATATGACTATCTAGTGATCTCAGCCCCAGTGGTTGAAAAGCCTGTCCTTCCCATCTGAACTTTACCTGTGTCATAAATCAAATGTCTCAGGAAGTCTCTGACAGGCACCAAAAAACAGTCTACTTAATTTTCCCTGTGGTGGTACTACACTTTCTAATTACTAGTGCTTTAAAAACCCATCTTGATATCTGGTGAAGCAAGTTCTTCTCCATCTTTTCCTGCCAAGTGTCTTTGCTATTGCTCTGTCCTTGCACTGCTATCTCTGTTTGGGATTTTTATTGGGATTGTATCAAATCTACAAATTAACCTGGGAGAATTGACACCTTTATAATAATGATCTTTTCAGCCTAAAAGCATGGTAGCTCTTTTAAAAACCCTTTTTTAATAATGTTTTAAAGTGTTCTCCGTATACATTTTCTTTTCTATTTCTTTGTTTGATCTAGATATCCTTTAGATGTTACTGCTTTGCAAGTGCTAACTTAAAAAATTATATTTTATAATTGCTGATTTATTGGAATAATATTGATTTTAGTATTTTGATCTTGTAGTTGCAAACTTGTTAAAACTTTTGACTACTTCTAATCATTTCCCTAAAGATTCTTTTGCATTTTTTTCTTTGGTTAATCATACCCCACATGAGTAAAGGTAGTTTTAGTTCCTCCTTTAAGACCCTTATGCCTTTAATGTTCTTGTTTGCACCAGGGAGGGCCCTTTGCAGCTGGGGTGGGCCCTCTATCATGGCGTTGTGCAGAACGTCATGCTAGGCCTTGTTTTCTTGATCCTAATGTAAAGTGAGTATTTCTAAAAAAGATTTTATTTATTGATTTTTAGAGTGACAAAGGGAGGGAGGGAGAAGGAGAGGGAGGGAAACATCGAGGTGCAAGATATACTTTGGTTAGTTGCCTCTCATGCACCCCCACGGGGGACCAGGCCTGCAACCCAGGCATGTACCCTAAACCGGGCATCAAACCGGTGACCTTTTGGTTCACAGGCCAGTGCTCAATCCACTGAACACACCAGTCAGGACGTCAACACTCTCCTTTTCTATGTTTTGTTTGCTTTGCTGTCTGTATATAGGGCAGCATTCTCCAAAACAGAGGAAAGAAGAGTATTTTCCTTAGAGACATGCCTCGCAGGTACTGTCCCATCATTTACTGAACTCTGAACTACAATAGAAAATAGAGATAGAAAGATGAATAAACATGACTAAAGATGAATAAACTCTGCCTTTAGGAGTTTACAGGTCCGTCCATCCATACTGCTGTTAGGAGAGTGGAAGTTGCTGCCCTCTGGCAGGACTGCACCAACTGCAGACAAGCAGAAGCAGGCAGACGAAGCTCCATCTCGGCTCTGGAGGTGGTGGGCCAGATGAAGGATCCCAGGCCACTTTCATGTCTCTGACATGGAAGGCAGCTCCCCTGCCATTCCACTTTCTCCAAGCCCAGAGAGGATAAAAGACCCTTTCTATTACTACAGCACAATGAATCTCAACTTTTTGTCATCTCATGGCATACATAAACTAGTAACATTCTGCAGCACGCCCAAAAAAATATATATAGTTTTGTCAATCTGATCAAAAATAGGCATAAGTTTGATTGATTTACCCCCCCACCAATAATTACCTACCTTGTTTCCAACAAAGTGACTTTTTAAAATATCAGGCGCCTATACTTGTATATAAGGATTTCTGATACCAAGGATTAACCAATCAGATGCAACTTTATTATACAGCATGACTAGTAAAATGCAACTCCATTATACCCTATATATTTATGATTGAAGACAAGACATTCACACCAGAGAGCTATTGTATTGGCTACTGTCATTTTTTTTATTTGACAATCTAAGGGAAAAACAGGTCAGTGCTCCCGACTAAACAGTCAGGTACTGCGTGTTTTAAAAATTCTGGCAGTACACCAGTTGAAAACTGCTGCTTCAGCAGATACACTCCAAGGTGGGACTTCGTACTCCCAGCGCCTCAAGCCCCTCTTAAGGAGCTACTGCGCCCTCCAGCGGAGCAAGGGCCGCCACACCCCAGAGGATCGCCTCAAAGTGCCCAACACCAGGAGTCATCCCTAGAAACCCGTGGGCTCCAGCCCCGCCCCCTAGACGGAGTCCCGCCTTCCACGCGATCTCCTCCCGGAGCACGGATTGGTTGGCTCCCGTGCGTGAGCTGCTGCGCTGTGGGGCGGGCGGAGGAGTTTCGCTGTTTAGGCCTCAGCTGTGTGTCTTGGGTCGCCGCCCCCACTGCTTTGCTGTGTCCGCCCCTCGCCTGTCTTTAGAGGATACAGGCGACAGTCGGGGCTTCGGGTGGCCTCGAAGCCGCCAAAAGTCTCAACGGAACTGCCCCTTCCAGCTGGCTGCTCTCGTCCGCAGGGTCCTGGTCGGGGAGGAAAATGGCGCCGGCGCCCCGAGGCGTCCGGGAGGAGCCACTGCTGCAGTGTGGGTCTCGACCTCTTTCCCGGCTCCTTTTTTTCGCCCAGGCCTTCGTCCTCCTGCTGCCGGCCGCCCGGGCGGGCGTCTGCCCCGCGCCCTGCACCTGCCGCCCCTCTCTGCTGGACTGCAGTCGCAGGAAACTGCCAGGGCCGAGCTGGAGGGTGCTGTCGAGCCCACTGCCCCCCGACGCCACCAGCCTGTGAGTGGGGCTGCAGGGCGGGGTTGGGGGTTCTGAGGAAAGGGTAGCTCCCTTCCCAAGGGGTTAGGAGGGTGAGAGGCCTGGTCAGAGGGCGCTGTCGGGAGCCTAAGGTGTGAAGACGAAGGCCATTACAATGTGGTGAACTTTGCGGGCGATTGTTGAGGTTCTGGAGTTAAAATTTGGGGGGGGGGCACCGAGGCTATGAGTACTGGGCTGGGGAGGAGTGTGGGGATGTTGTTAAGGGGATGGGGATGTTGTTAAGGCGTCAGTTGTCCTGGCTACCGGCACTGACTCGAGATGGTTGGGGCTCCTCGCCCACTTGGGGCTGCATCGTGCAGTCCAGGTGGACATTGGCCTGAATGGTCCCCATGCATGTGATTTTACAACCACGACTGCCGAAGACACATGGACTGTCTTTTGTCCCTAGTTCGCATTTTGGCTCGTTTTGTGCTGCAGTTTTGATACGTAACAAGGTTCAAACTAAATGTGTTAGGAGAGCCAGTACTACTGCCCAGAACATGTCTTTAGAGGATCTTTAGATGGAACGTGTATCTTTTATAAGTAGCATCCTTGGTCTAATTTAGGAAAGGAGCATTCTTTCCCAAATCATGTCATGCTTTAACTGTTTTCAGTGCATTTGTTGTAGCAAAGACCCTAAAAAACCAGCCCTCTCTATTTATGTATGACAAGCAAGTGCAGTGATTGGTTGAATTCTTCTGGAGACTCCACTGCCGAGTGCTCTTTCTGACAGGCCTGCGCTAGTGGCCCCTGGAGAGCTCACTGGTCTGAGTCAGCCTGGTGGCATTGGGAGCAACAGTAGGTAATAAATGCTGCAATTACGGGGCTTCTTAACCACTAATACAGTTGTTTCTCTGCCGCTAACTGAGCAGTTCGTTTATTAATTGACGGCCTTCTAGCACAGTCGGCTCCAAAAGAGTTGTCACAGAAAGACTGGGTTTAGGTGCAATTAAGATATGAGGGCCTGTTTGGATTTTTAGTGGAAAATAGTATACAAATGCAAGGTTTCTCTCTGCTGCAGAGGTCATTTCATGCATTTGCAAATAGATTAGGATAGATAGAAAAGAAAGCTACCTCAAATTCCTTAAGAAAATTGAAGTAACAAACAGCAAAATGCTGTGGTAGCATAGACCTGTAATATAATAAGATGTTTTCTGTTCTAAGATGTGACACCCTTCTGGTTCTGTTGATGCAAATAAAATTTAGAAATTCAGCGGAGCAAGGGCCGCCACACCACTAAGGTGTGAAGAAGAAGGCCATTACAATGTGGTGAACTTTGCAGGCAATTGTTGAGGTTCTGGAGTTAAAATTCAGATCAGTGTGTAACATAGTCTGAATTAAACCTAGCACAGCATCTTTGTAATGCAGCACATGCCTTTTTTCTAAGAAATTCTTGGAACAGCTACCTGATTATGACAGAATAAATCTGGTACAGGTTTAAAAAACAGCTTCATTTAGTTGTCACTGGAATAAATTAAGATCCTCCATTGGTATGTAAACTTACAAAGTAATTAGAAATACTTTTATATGAGATATATGCGTTTTGTGTCTAGGTTTGATTTTTGTTTAATTAAGATAAATTTCCTGAAGCCAAATGATGTTCAAAAATTTTTAATGTTCTAGGATGAAAGCGACATTCTCAATTTAAGTGAAATGCCTTGAAGAGCAATTCTGTTGTAGAAATGTAATTGGGTGGCATGTCTTACATTAGCAGAAGAACTGCTAGAATATTGAAAGATGGGATTGTGCAGTTTGAAACTGAGAAATGTACTAGTCTTCAGCAATAAAACCACCTGGTGCATATGGATTTCTTAATGTGATTTTGAATTTTTAAAACACATGCAATGCTCAAATGTAATAGTGATTCAAACTCAAATGGTCAGACTTGTGGCCATCCTCAAAAAGATGGTAGACGAAATTCATTAATCCTGGCTTTTGAAATATATCTGCCCTCGGTTCCTGGCACAGAGCTCCTGAAGCTCTTATAATTTCCTAAGTGATAAGAGTACTAGGAGGATCCTTCTTTCTAATATTTGGTCTTTGACCTTCTTTCTTGACGCAGGGCTCCTAAGTCCCTTGGCATTTTGGGTGATAGAAGTGTCTTCTGATCTAATGAGGCAATTCTTGGTGGGCTCCTGGATGGCTTCAGGATGGGGTCTGGTCACTAGAAAGACCAGTCTGTCGCTAGAAGTTTTGGACTTTCGGCTCCACTCCTTTTCATCCTGGAAGGGGAGAGGGGCTGCAGATTGAGCTAATGGTTAATTAAGTCTCTGTGAGGAAGTCAAAATAAAAATCCCCAAATCTCAGGTTCAGATAGCTTCTGGATTGGTGAGCACATTTACATGCCATGAAGGTGGTGCCCCCAACTCCACAGGGACAGAAGCTCCTTTGCTGGACCCTTTTAGACCTCACCCTATGTATTTCTTCATTTAACTGTTTGTGCCCTTTATAGTGGCTTTTACTGTGTAATAGACCAGTAAATGTAGTAAGTGTTTCTCTGAGTTCTGTGAGCTGTTCTAGCAGGTGATTGAATCTAATGATGGGGTATGGGAACCTCCAATTTGTAGCAAGTTGGACAGAAGTTGTGGGTAACATGGGGTCCTACTGATTGTGGTTGGTGGCTGAAGTGGTGGTACAGTTTTGTGGAACTGAGCCCTTACCCTGTGAGGTAGGTCTGCACTAACTCCAGTTAGTGTTTGAATTGAATTGCAGGACACCTGGCCGGTGTCGGAGAAATGGTTGGTGTGGGGAAGAAAAAAACCCATCGGTGTCTGAAGTATTATGTGTGTGAGTAAAGGAAGAAATGTGACAATTCTTTGCTTCATCAAGGTTTACTCAGGCTCCTGAACTTCTAGGCCATCTGTGCACATCCTTGTAAAATGCAGTTTCAGCAAGAACCCTGCTGTATCAGTTTAGCAAGAAGCCACTACCCTCAACAATCTGATTGGGTTCTTCCCCTATACCAGGGGTGTCAAACTCATTTTCACTGGGGGCGACATTGGCCTCACGGTTGCTTCCAAAGGGCCGAATATAATTTTAGGACTGTATTAATGTAACTACTCCTTAGCAGTTAATTGAGAGCTTGGCGCTGCTGCTGGGTAGAAACAAGGTGCTGGGCCCTAATAAAACAAGGTGGAGGCCAGATTCGGCCCGCAGGCCTTGCGTTTGCCACCTGCACCCTATACCATGTCCCAGATGGTGTCTGATCACCTTGACCTGCTCTTAGCCAGAATCCTGTTTGGTCTGATTAGTCAGAACCCTCTTACATCTGATGTTTTCTCTTAGTATTTTTCATCCACTTGACCCCACGCTGCTCCTTAGCTTTCCCATATACACAAGCAGTAAGTATTTGGAGTTGAGCCCACTCTCTTATTTACATTAAAAAATTTCATTGCAGTGGTCCCTGTGCCTAGCTCTCCATTTCCCAAAGTCTTCCTTACCATGCTTTAACAAGTGTCATTGAATCTCTTTTTCCTTTTAACAGTTATGGTGCCGATAGGATCAGATTCATCATTGGACCCCCGGACCTCTCACCCAGGACCCTAAGTGCATACCTTTGAAGCCCTTATCTTCCTCCTGACTGATGGATCGGGGATCCATTGGTGAGTCCGACTCCTGAACCATTGCTCCGGACAAATGTCCGTGTAAGCTGGTAAGGACAGATTTTGACTCTTTAAGAGTCGGAGTATATACCGGAAGAGAGGATAGAGCCCCAGATAAACACAGACTGGGTTAGGGTCCCAGGTAGTCCTGTTGGTAAGAAGGTCCTTTAGAGTCCCAGGCAAGCAGCTCTTTGTAAGAAGCTGGGTTAGAGCCCTAGGCTTCTTTGTTTGAAAGGTACCCACTGGACTGGAAGTCTCTTCTTCTGGCTTTCTTTTTGATTATTTCCTGACTCCTTGCACTGGCATTCTTTCTTCCTATCTCCCTGTGACACCTCTCCGTTTTTTCTACTGGATTCTGGAACTTCTCCATGGAAACAGACTCCCTTGTCAAACCTCTGCTGGCTGTCCTCACCACCCGTTCTGTGAACTTCGATTCGTGTTGGCGGGCTTTTGCTGAGAATAGTGTGGAACTTCATTGGCCTCTTTGGGAAACTTGACATCTCCTCCCACTGGCTCCCCTAAGACGTCTCCTTTTCCATTCCTTCTGCTGCTAATTTCTCCTCTGAGCACCTTCAGTCTTCCCTCCAGTTCCCTTGAATGCTTTGGTATGTCTCCCGCCAAACCCCTCCGACCCTTTTCCCTGCCCATCTCTGTGGTCACTTGAACTTTGGGCTCCCCGCCCTCCCCTGGGGGCTGTGAAGGGACTTAGGAACCCACAAAAGTAGCTACTTGAGGCTGAAAAAGGAAAAGGCTATTTGGAAGTAGACAGGGTGTTTGGTTAGTTGGATGAGCTTTGGAAACATCCAGACAGTTGCTAGATGTCTCTTTGGGCACCTACAGTTTGGTCCACAGCCTCCAGAAGACTACGTATCAGGGCAAGGGACGGTCTGCAAGGCAGCCTCTGCAAAACTGATAACAGATAACCTACCTTGTCCCTTTTGCCAGAAACATAGTTTGCATAAAAATACAAAGTTGAAGAAAGACAAGAGCTAATGATTTATAAATCAGTGAGTTTGTACTGATGGCTGAAATATTAGAATGTAAACCATAAATTTCTATTTCCGTACACATTATAGATGTGTGATATTTTTCTATCTCTAAATGGTATTACCCAGTTAATTTAAAAAATGCCTTGAAGGGGTTCTGTGCAAATTGACTTAGAGATAAATGAGCACTTATATAAATCGAGTGTTCTTGAAGCTCTCAGAAATAGAGAAACTAAGCCAACGTTTTAACTTTACATGATCTGGGAGAATTTTTCATGAATAAAGCTAATGTGAAAGTTGTTGGTAACATAAGGACAGTCATGTCTTCTTTCGAATTGTCAGCATTAAGTATAATGCAGGCATACAACTGTTTTTCTGCCTAGGTTTGCTAGTC